GAGCCTCCAAATCTCAGCTGCCAGCTCTGCGAGGGGCCCCCGCTGCCATGGGCGCCTGAACCAGCCACAGCTTCCTTAACAGCCTCACCTACAAGGACAAGTTTGTCATCATCTGCCTGAACATTTTCGAGTACGGACTGAAACAGCAGGAAAAGCGGAAGGTGGAGCTCGACACCTTCAATGCGTGTGTCCAGGAGGCCGTCCAGGAAAACCGGGAGCAGGGCAAGCTCAGGATCGCCAAGTTCGAGGAGAAGCACCTGCTGGTAGGCCTGCCCTTGCCCCCTGCCCCCCCGCCCGCCTTCCACCGGCACCGCCAGCCACAGCGCAGGGCCGGGCCGAGCGGAGCCTGAGGCCAAGGCAGCGCCATCCTCACCATGACACGGCGTGGTTACCATTATGGTGGTGACTGCTTCTCTCTCGGGCAGACGTTTTCTGAGCTGCGTGGTTATTGCCCACCTGCGCTGGGGGGGCTGCGCCGGCCTTAGCCAGCCGTCTGCTCCTCCAGCCGCTCCATTCGCAGTGTGTGCTCTCAGGTGGGGGGAGCGTCACATAGTTTACAAACATTGGTCTCTCTTTTTTTTAATGAGCGGATAGGTGATCATTTTATTTTATTTATTTATTTAAATTCTTTCTTGTTGAAAGTATTGCATGTCTCCTTTTTCCCCACCCACTCCCCACCCCGCCCCCGCCAGGCCCTCACAGCCCTACTGTCTGTGTCCATTGGCTATGCTTATACACATGCATACAAGTCCTTTGGTTGATCTCTTACCCGCACCCTCCTCTGCCTTCCCTCTTAGGTTTTATTCATTTTTTTCAACATATTTTTATTGGTTTCAGAAGAGTAGGGAGAGGGAGAGAGAGAGAGAGAGAGAGAGAGAGAGAAACATCAATGTTGAGAGAGAATCATGGATCGGCTGCCTCCTGCACGCCCCGCACTGGGACCGAGCCTGCAACCCGGGCCTGTGCCCTGACTGGGAATCAAACCATGACCTCCTGGTTCACAGGTAGATGCTCAAACCCGAGCCACGCCGGCCGGGCAACATTTGTGTTTCTTATTTGCGAACTATTGTCATAATACTGTGCCCTTACCCATTTTCCCATTTGGTGTTTCTCCCCCTTTCTTTCTTTGTTTTTACTTTCATTATTATTCTGTAGGAGCACTTTGTAGATTGAGAAATTAGCCCTGTGTCAGTGAAATAAGTTGCCAACATTTTCCCAGTTTGCTGTTTATCTTGTTACTTTGTCTCTGGTGTATTTACATTCAGAATATTAAAAATGTTTATGTGATAGACTGTATCAGTCTTTTCTTCTGCCTTTATTTAGAAAAGACTTCTCCACTTTGAGATTATTTATTTAAAATCCCCCAGTATTTTCTAGTACTTTTATGGCTCTAATTCTTACATTTAAATCGTTCTCTGTCCAGAATTTATTTTCATGTAACACTTGAGATAGGCATTGAACCTGATTTTTCTCCAGATGGGGGAGCCATTGTTAGAGACATTCACCTCAAATCATGTCCAGTTTCTCTTCCTTTACAACTAACACCGAGTATCAGCAGAAACAAGCTGACATGGTGCCTCCTGCCCGAGCACCTCCCGCCCGAGCACCGGCCTGTCCACTACCCGCACACCCTGGCGCTGGGTCCTGGGGGTCTGACGGGCTCCCCCAGGCCGGACCTGTCGCGTGTTTGCGGGTCTCTCCCTGCCTGTGTGCCCCAGCGCTTATGGGCCCAGCGCCACTGCGATGGGAGCAGCCCGCCCAGCCGCCATGGGCAGGGACTGGAGCTTGGAGAATGGAAAGGACTCGTTCAAGGTGAAACGGCTGCTGAGTGACTCAGAGGGTGTCACATTCAGGTCCACCTGGCTGGCAGCCGTGGCTCCTGCCGCCCAGCCGGCCCCTGTGCAGAGAGCCCAGCTGGGGAGGGCAGCACGTCTCGCTTGTGCTGGGCCAGCCCCCCCCCTGACCCCCCCGCGCGGGGCCGGACAGGGCGCGGCTGCTACAGGCTCAGGCGCTGGCATGAGGCTTAGCTACCCCTGGGGTGGGCCGTCCAAACCCAGGGTCCCACTCCTACCCACAAAACCGAATTGTCGCCGTCACTGCGTCCACTCGGCTGTGACGCCTAACGCCGGGCTCTTGTCTCCAGAGTCTGAACGCCATCCGCGACGAGGCCGACCTGGCCAGCATGGAGGCGAGGATCGTGGCGTACAGCGAGGACATCACCGAGCTGTCCAGTGCGCTCATGACGCTGGAGATGCAGCTGGTGGAGCAGCTGGAGGTGCGTGGGGCCTGGCAGGAGCGGTGTGTGAGCGCCGCCAGGTTCACCCCGGGGGCTGGTGCTGCCGTTTCCTGCTCGCTTTTACCGCATGTCCCCCCTACACTGAGGGAGGGTGAGCTCATTCCTCTGGAAGCCCCCCCCCCTGGAAGGGCAGAGCCTCGGGAGAGGGTTTTGATTAGACCAAGGAGCTGCCGGTGCTCAGGGAGCAAGGTGGCCCCCACGCAGGGGAAGGAAGGCTCCCTGCCCCTCAGCCTGCAGTGCTGGCCATGCTGGCGCCCGCGATTCCGCGCTAAGTGTGGGCCCGGAAAGTGCTGCTATCGACACCCCACACCGCGCCCCCAGTGACAGGCGTGTTCACAGGCTGTCTGCGAGTCCGAGGGGCTGTGATGAATGGAACCTCATTGGATGCTGCCATGGCTGGGCCAAGAGATAGTCCCTGATCAGTGCCTCCCCTGCCTGTGGCACCTCAGACTCGGAGAGATTCCCACCTCGCAGAGCAGACGCTGCCCGCAGACCCCGAGGCTCAGGGCATCTTAGGCAGCGGCTCCCAACGTACCAGGGTTCCCAGAGCCCAGGCGTTTAATGCTGGTGGTGTCATCACACCCGTGCCCAGCGCCCGAAAGGCTATAACCACTGTGGAGCTTTTCAGTGACCCTATGTGCTTCCCTGCAGCAGTGTTCACACACGTTTGGAGCGTGTGTAATGTCTCGTCCTGCAGCCCGTCCCCAGGCCCCTGGAGGCTCCCTGCCCCTCAGCCTGCCCTGCAGCCCTAGTCTATGGCGGATTGAGGGTGTGGCCAGTCCTGGGCTGCTGGGATCGCAGGCTTCACCCTGCTTCATCTGCCATTGTTCCCGCAACCAACATGAAACCCCGGTTAGGCCGGGGGCCCTGCTGAGCACCGGGTGCAGCAATGAGGGGTTCCCTCAGGGCACGGATGGGGGATGGGAACAGCCAGGATCACTGAGGGTTCCTCTCTGCCAGGCACCGTGCAAAGCATTTTGTGTGAAGTAACCTATTTAAGCTCCACCACAACTCCAGGAGGCAGGTACTACAAAGGAAACCCATTTCACAGATGAGGAAGTTGAGGCCCAGGGAGGTTAAATGACATTCCCAGAGGTACATACAGTGAGCAGGGATGTCGATGCGGGCAGTCCGGATCTTACTGACACCCTCCCTGTCACCTGGAGGTGATGCCACTGGGAGGCCAGGGGAAGGAGACCAGCTGTGTGTGTGTGTGCGTGTGTGTGTGTGTGTGTGTGTGTGTGTGTGTGTGTGTGTCGGGGGTGGCGGTAGAGGTGTTAAGACCAGAACAGGTGTTCCTGGCAGAGGGAACAGGCAGAGGCCTGGGGAAAGCATCGCAGTGACTATCCAAGGGGCGGTGAGTGAACTGAAATGGCCAGAGAGCAATGGGCTGGGGTCAGAGGTCAGGAGGGAGAAGCAGGGTCAGGGACCAACATCTGCGGAGAAGGCCCGCGTGGCGTCTGCGTCCTGAGGCTGTGAGCAGAGGAGGTGCCGGCCTTTGCTCTGAGGCTCGGGCAGTCGGGTTCCTGTCCAATACGCATGCTCACCGTGCTCTGTCCCTTTTCCAGGAGACGATAAACATGTTCGAGAGGAACATCATCGACTTGGTGGGGCTCTTTGTCGAAAATGTCCAAAGCCTATATCCTTGCCTTCGTGACCGTGGCTGGGAGGCGCTGCTGGGCCCCGGGGCTTATCCCGACCACGACTCTGCTCCCCACCTCCAGCCTAACAAAGGCAGGGAAGGGTACCCCTTCAGCACGGACCCGACAGGATGCCCACGAGTAGGGTTCCCCTCCAGGCGGCACCTGAGTCGGGCGCCTGCCCTCCGCGGCCACCAGTGCCACAGGCATCGTCAGAGAGAAGTGGCACCTCACTGTTTACCAGGAATCCACCTGCCGTCTGATCGACAGGAAGGCCTGTGCCTCCACCGGGACGCTCTCACCCAGCACAGGAACCTGCCGGTGGGACCCTCCGCCTTTGCAATTGGAGGAAGTCAGACCTTCCGATTTTCACCAAGGACAAAGCTCCCTTCACGGGATGAGCCGTGGCACACTGGGTGCTGAGAGTTCCTGGTCGGAGGGGTGTCCCCAGCCAGCACCACCCCAGCGTTGTTCCAGGACCTGCAGCAGGGCTGCTGTTCTGGGTGGGGTTGGAGGAGCCGTGTTTGCAATAGAAGTCCTGGAGGGTTATTCCCAAACGAGTGACACTCGAGGACAGACCACACCCCAGAGTCCCCCCGTCCCTGTGTTGCAGGGAGACACACCCAGGGAGCGGGACAACCTCCAAGTTGCAGATGCTGACAAATTACTCATAATGAGCCGGGCAGGCTAAGTCCCTGGGTCAGAAGCCCACATCTGGGCATGACCAACCCTTCTGCCACCTGCACTCAGAGCCCTGTCCTGTGTGAAACAACTGCTGTGGTCCACCCCAGAAGTAATCCCTGGTCCTGCCCTCCTGGGCCCTTGGGCCCACAGGAAACACAAGCTATAGAGGCGGCGAGTGGAGCAGCTGGCCCAGAGACCAGGCCGCAGCCTCCCAAGAGAGGGCCCCCACAGGGACCAGGTGGGCCGGGGGGGACTTAGCCAGCAGGGAGACAGCCTGTGCAAAGGTCCTGAGGAAGAGTCGGCGCTCTGGGTCCGATAGCAGGCCCCTCGGCCACGTTGGAGAGCCGGAGGCTCCTGGAGAGAGAGCCGAGAGCACAGGAGGGACGTGTGCACCTGAGTCCCTAGCCACTCGCTGCCGCGGGAGGGAAGGGCCGGAGCGCTGGCCAGGTCTCAGTGTACGGACAGGTGCAGAGGCAGTGGGATGGAGAGAAGTGGGTGGCGGAGGGACACTCGGGGAGCCCAGGGCCAGGGTCAGTGAGAAGCAGGGATGTGAATGGGGCGGGGGTCAGGCTGGCCCGGGGTGAGGTGCGCGTGGGGAGACAGCTGTGAAGGCCACGGCGCACTGCGCCCCAGCGTTCGCCCTTGGCCCTTAAGAGTCTGCTGTCATCTAATGAAAATGACCAGCCCGAGGCCGGGCCACCCGCCGCTGCTCCGGCCTTTGCTTAACTCTCGCTGCACCATGGCCCAGTGCCGGGACCTGGAGAACCACCACCACGAGAAGCTTCTGGAGATCGCCATCAACACCCTGGAGAAGGTCGTCAAGGGCGAGCTCGACGAGGACCTGCCTGAGGACGTGCGGGCGGTGAGTGGGACTGGGGTGCGGGCGTGCTGTGGAGGCGGAGGCTTGTTGGGGGCCGGGCCAGGCAGAGCGCACCCAGCTCTGTGGCTCCAGTAAGCCTGGAAACCTCTGGGGCCTCAGTTTCCTCATCTGCAAAAGGCAACAATAATGCCCTTTGGCAGAAGAAATAGGCTAACAAACACCTGGGGGGTGGGGGCCTAGCTAGAGGTGCATGATAATCAGGTGTTTCACCGACCTGAGAGCTGTGGGGCCTCTGGCGTTCCTAGGCGAGGCCCTACACGTAGGCGCTAAGGTCTGCTCCCCAAAGGCCTTTAGCCCTCCAGTCTCCGCGGGGAAGCACTGCTGAGGCGGAGCAGCCGTGCGCCATTGCCGGTCCAGCACCTCGCGGCCCTTCCCCAGCACAGCCAGTGATGGCGTCACAGGCCTAGGGCCAGCCTGAGCCCCACGCTCCCGGGTGTGGCGCTGGGTGGGCAGCAGGGGTCAGGTCTCTGGGAAGACCACGGTCAGCGAGAGAAGGCCCAGGCCCAGACACCTTCCTGTCAGGAGCAGTTGGTTTCCTCATCGTGCATCCCAGCCAGTGTCTCTGCTTCTCCACCTCCATGTTGCCACCAAGTCAGGCCCCATCGGCTCTGCCTGGACCACGCCTCCTGCAGGCTGCTCCCACCCAGGCCAGAGAACCTCTGAAAACCCACCACAGCATTCTGTGCTTTTGCACACATTCTCTCATGGCTTCCCTGCTGTTCATCCTAACCCTCCAGACCCAGCATGTGAAATGCTAAGGCTTAACACAGGCCAAATAAACAAGGTGGAAGTTTCTGTGGGCCGCAAACAAAAGCTTCTATTTTCACAGAAACGTAGGTTTATTTCGATAGAGACATGCTGAATACAAAGGGCTGAAATAAATGAGTCATTGTTAACATAAAATAATAGAACATTTTAATAAAAATTAATATTTTGGAGGAGAAACAAAGACGGCGGCATAGGTAAACACCTGAAATTGCTGCCTCGCACAACCACTTCAAAACTACAACTAAAAAACAAAACGGACATCATCCAGAACACAGGAAGGCTGGCTGAGTGGAAATTCTACAACTAGAAGGAAAGAGAAAAGCACACTGAGACTCAGAGGAGGTGCAGAAGTTAAGTGCACAGGTATGGAGGTGCACGCGCACAAATGGCTGGCAACTGAGGACGCGGTTGTCTTTTTCAATCGGGAGGGAGTCTCAAGCTCCCGACTGCTCTGGACTCCAGTTCCGGGCGAGTCTCTGGGGACCCAGACTCATACGGGGAGAAACTGGACTGTCTGGCATCGGTAGGAACTCGAGGGCGGCTTTCTCTCAGAGGTGCTTGCAGCTATTACCGCGGGACACTGAGACCCGGGGCCTCTTAGGGCAGGGATGAGGATCAGCCATAGCTGTTTGCTCCGCCCTGCTGATTCCCTGAGACCCCACCCCACCCAAGCTGTGCACAGAGGCTTTTGCATATGAATGGCCTGGCCCTTTGCAATCTAAAATTATCTAACAAACTGCAGCTGGCATTACCGTGAGACACTGAGACCTGGGGCCTCTTAGGGCAGGGCTGAGGAGCAGCCATAGCTGTTTGCTCGACCCTGTTGATCCCCTGAGACCCCGCCCCACCCAAGCTGTGTGCAGAGGCTTTTGCATATGAATGGCCTGGCCCTTTGCAATCTAAAATTACCTAACAAACTACAGCTGGGTCAGAGAGATCCAGAAATTCCAAAAGAAGGCCCAAGGCCCCACAGCAGCTTGCAGGGTTTCATAGCTGGGCCTCATCTGGGCACCTCCAAACCCCAAACAAAGAAGAGGAATCTGCAGATCTCTCCACAGCTCCTGCTGGGTAGCCTCAGACAGAGGCTAAATTAGCACCTCCTTAGAGATCCAAGAGCCAGTGTACCCAGTGGTCAGAGTGGGACCCTCCATATTACAACTTCTTAGATCCATAAGGGACACGCTCAGGGGGCAGACTCAGTGAGCACCAAAGCTCCACAGAAGCAAGGCTTGCCCCATGAGGGTGTCTCCAGCACAGAAGTTCTCCCACCGTAGACACAGCTGATTCTCACAGCCAATTGGCCTGGAGGTCAATTCCTCCCAGTGATACCAACAACAATCAAGGCTTAACTACAACAAGACTGTGCACACAGCCCACAAAGGGGTGCACCAAGAGTGT